GTATAAGAGAAAGTTTATAACGCATTAAAGTTGTTTACATAGAGAAATTAGTAATTATCTATAAGAACCGACATTACTTACATCTTTAAATTGTGCAGCGAAGATATGAAAGTGTGGCTGTGGTGTTTCATAGCGACTTAATGCAAGAGTCTGAAAATAAGGTATCGTAGCCGGTAATTACACGAAATCGCGTGAATGAACACTTGTACAGCGCGTTACTTCATTGCTACCTACTAATAGCCTTTTACTTAACCCTTTGACGACAATGAGGATTTGCACGCAACGAGCTTGTGGGACCACCATTGCAACATTGAGCAAAATTGTCCCTGAAGCAGAGTTTTCGTTCGTCGTTCATGAATATAGATATACACCAAATATAGCTGCAGTTTTAATATTCCATATTACACATTGGGGGAAACAACACTGGAAATTGGGAAGGGTTACTCGAATTTCAAATGTATGGAGGGTACAAACTATAAAAGTCATGTGTTCAGTAGAACTTTTGACACAGTTCATACCCATGTCAAATTCAAAGGCAGTAAGAAGACGAAAAACTTCGATCAGTAGTTGATGTTCAGCCTCGTCATGAAACAAAGCCCAATTTAAACATTACAGTTAATAGGACTACAGTACTCCAGGAAGAGCAGTAGAAATTTCTTCAGTATCGAAAGCAGGTTTCACTGTGAATAATTCCTGTAGCAGCATCGAAAGCCGCTTTCACTATGAATAACCGCTGTAACGCAACTTGGGAGGGAGCAGCTTTTCTTCCAACTTTTTGAAATTCTTTTTTTTTGGTTTCTGCACCTGCATTGTTTCATAAATATAAGGTCAGCGTGTGAGAATAACAGAAATCTTATCTATCAATAGAGCAAAAGATTTTCCGAACTGCTTTGCAAAGGCTCACGAAGCCGTGCCGAGCACCACGAAACGCATCTCTAGCCTTTTCTTCAAGAAGTCGAATACGAAACATTCCAGAAATTTAGCTAATTTGTGTATTTGTACAAATCTTCAGTTTCTTAGTCAGATTGGTTGTTTCTGATAATGTAGTATTCATTTTCACAGGGTGACCTTATAATTATAAAAAGGTTCAAAAAGCAACAAATAATTATAAAAAAGTTAGAAGAAATGCTGTTTTCGCCAAAGTTGCGATACAGAAGTTATTCATAGCGGAGGAAACAGCCAGTGATACTAGAAAGATTTCCAGGCCGCTG